CCCCCCCTCGCCCCCTGTTTTTTTTTGTTTTTTTTTTTTTTTTTTTTTTTTTTTTTTTTTTTTTACTCCCCCGCCGGAGAAGAATCCAACATTTTTGTCCACGTAAATCATATTTTCATTTAACGAGCACATAAATCCATCCCAAAACAGATGTTGGTGAAGCAATGTCGCCGGGCAAGGTCGAAACTTGTCCTTTGACATCGTTTTGCCTCGCTCTGCACTTCGAAGGTGGCTTGGCTATACGTAGGGGGGCGTGTTGCCCCAGCAGGGTCACTTACTGCCCGTCTATCTATTTGACTGACAGTCGAAAAACAAGAGCTCTCCCCGTCTCTCTCCTGACACAAACCTCCGTGTCAAGCTTTAGTGTGTGTGTGGTTTGTTTTTTTCTTCACACAGATACTTGTGTGTAACCGCCAGTTGACCTTAAGTCACCCCAGAGCGACCGCGGAGGCCCCGCTCGCCAAGAATGTTTTCAACCTCTAACGCAAGAGTGGGCAAACTTTTGTGCATCGGGGCCGCATTTTTATTTTTAGACGGACAGGCTGGCCTGGTCATTCACTTTTTAAATCTTTTTATTGACTCAAATCGTATTTTGAATTTTGCTGACAGTAAAACAATTAACCGATTGTTTCATTAGATCGAGGATGTAAAAAAAAAAAAAAAAAACATACATTTTGAATACAGCAACTTTAAGAAGAAAAAAAACTGTTCCATTAATGCAACATATGAAAGAATGGAGACAAGAATTCTAACGGTCTCGTCCCGCTCGGGCCTGTGGTCACACAGTGTCTCTGTACGTGTGCGCCGCAGGTAACAACGCCAACTGCAACGCGCTGACGCACGGCGACATGGTGAGCCTGGACGAGGGTCGCTTCCCCGCCCTGGAGTTGAACAACCGCAGGCTGTCCGTCAAGAACTCCTTCTGCCGGAAGAACGGCGTCTACACCAGGTCTGCCCTATGCAACGGCGCTTCCGAATCCCCCGATGGTTCTGGATTAATGCCGCGTCTTGATCTCGGCTCTCGGAATAGCAAAGAATCCTCGCGCCCGGCTTGCTGCCTCATCCGCCGGATCCCAATTCAAACAAGGCTCTTAATCCTACCGCGGTCCGGCTAATTCCGAGTCGTGTTGGACAGGCGGCGGTGTTAACGGCTAATTTTCTTCCGATTAGTGCGGGTTCAAGCGCAGAGTTAAGGTCTCTGTTTTTTTTTTTTTTTTAACTTGGCATCTCATTGCTTTGTCAATGTTTGCCCACAGCTTCGTTTCATCGTCAAGCTTTCTCGGATAAGGACAATACACAAAGATGGATGGATGAGTTTTTTTCAAATAAATGGTTTAGAGCTGGAATGGGAATCTTCAAAGATGGAGGGGGCCACATTTTTTCATCAGTGCGCCGACTGAGTAGAGACTCAAATCACTGGTCGCAAGGGGGCCAGGAAAACAACAATGCATGAAACCAAAAGCGCTTGCAAAGAACACTGAGAAGATGCAAATGAAATGTCGCAAATCCAATAACGCGAAACCAAAGATCAAGATCGATAAAAAGGAAAAATGAATAATTGTTTCATATATATATATATATATATTTTTTTTTTTTTTTAAATGACTTGTTTTCTCATGAAACAATCATATCTTTGAAAATCACCCCATCAAGGCTGAAATCTGACTGGTTGAACTGCAAATCCTGTTTATGATGCGTCAAGTATTAAATGGATCACGTATAAATCAGATTTTTATTTTTATTGATTGAATTTTTTTTTATGCAGGTCTCCTCCCAGGCCAAGTCCGGGCAGTCTCAACTACTCAGATGAAGACGTGAGCACAAAGTACAACGACTTAATCCCTGTGGAGAGCAGCAGCCTGACCGAGAAACCGTCCGAAATCTCTGACTCGCAGGTACTCTAGCAACACACGATCCATTTTTTTGAAAACTGGATTTATGTTAGTGAAGGGGGGGCGGGGGTCTTTCATCATGTCCGTGTGCGCACTCCACTCTCTGCATCGTCAGCTCTGCAGTATTTTTTGTCGTTTTTGTTTTTTTTTTTTCTCCTCCCTCTTTATTTATTTCAATTCAAACTACCGCCTTCATGTGGACATTGTCTCGGGGTGTCGGCTGTTCTTCCTCGACAGCGGTTGTAGTTTTCCGCCTTTTTCCGTCTGCTGAGCCAGAGTGGCCATCATTTCCAGAGTCAATCTCCCTCTCCTTTCTCTGTCTCCCTCGCCCTCCCTCTCTTGATTCCCACTTCCCACTGCCATGTGTGTCTCTGGTGTTGTTTGGGAACATTTTATTCCCGGATGTCTTCCATGCATATGTGTTCTTCATTATGTCAGCCCCCGGGCTCCCCTCTCTCTTTTTCTTTTTGGGGTGAATTATCTCACGGTCTGGGCTCTGTGCCAGCCGAGCAAAAAAAGGGGTCAAGGTGGAAGAATTACTCTTTGTTTTAGAAAGCCTTGAATATTGCCTTTCGTGTATTCTGCGTCATTCCCAAAATTGTCAACTAAACATTCCTAGTGTGAACCCCCCCAAAAAAAACACCACCCCCTACCCCTCAATAGGCCTCTTACTGCCCCCCACAATGAATCGGCTCAGAAAGGAACTTTCACCACTCGATAACGTTCCCTCGTTTTACCACCTGGCCGACATTCCTGCTTTTTTTTTTAGCATTCTCTGCATCCCAAATCTCCAGAATGGTCACGGAGAGTTTCTCCAGCTGCGTTCTCTGTGGGAAGTGTTGTCTTTTAAATCCTGCTCCTCCCGACGTGTTTGACACTCCCTCCAACCCCCACCCACCCCCTTTTTTTTTTTTTTAAAGACGTGGGTTTTTGCCTTGGCCGCGGAGCAAATAGCAATGATCTCACTTGTGAGTCACACACACAGTAGATCATGCAAAGATTCACTTTAATGGGAATTATGTCATGTTTGTGCCGAGATCAAGTAAATGGTTCTGCCTCCCCATTTCAAATAATCAGTCATTTTCTCCATCTCAGGGTGAAATGAAAACAAAAAAAAATAATAATAATACACACTGTTTTGGCTTCTGCTGGGACTCCTGCCGTGTTCACTCAACATGTTTGATGGCGACCCCCGACTTAGTCTTGTATAATCCATAACTCGGCAACACAAAGGACTGACCCACTCTGGCGATTTGGGGATGAGACGGGATGGGGGAGGTGCTGGTTGCCAGACCAGGCTGCCCCGACTGCAATTGTCGATTGCTGAGAAAGTTAGAAGCCGTGTTCGGGTTTCAAATCTGCTCCACCACACCCCACAATGGCAAAAAAAAAATCTTACACAAGATTTCGAGCAGAAGTTTGTTTTTAAAAGACCCCCCGGATTTCCAAAATTTCATGCAAAGATTTCTTGTGTTTGGGCGGGTATCTCGACGTCTCTCCCTTTCATTTAACACTGTCACAATTTAAAACGTGTTTGCCACTTGACACTGACAATGGCAATTGATCCCTCTGAGTTGTTTTCTTGTGCGCCTGCAATTACCTGCTAACAAGCTCAGCGAGGAGGCGTTTCACGGTCAGCGCTACACCGCAGGATGTCGAATCTACATCAGAGACTCCCGTTGCCCCCCTCGCCCCCTCACACACGCATGCTTAGAAGTTGTGCGGAGCCCCACGTTAATTTTCTTCAAGTGGCTTCTGCCGGAAGGCTCGGCAGAAGTGCTCCGGGACGAGCGTTGAGCCGCTAACGACAATCATACTGGACGCGGCTATGACTGGGATCAACATAGTTTGAGGAGTTTCAGATCGATGGCAACGGCGAGTTGCCACCCGATAATCACAAAAAGAACGGTTTACTAGCAACAGGCCGCGCGAGAATAACCGTCTCGCGTCAGGAGCCACGTGCTGCTTCACCAAGTCCGACAGCCACCGTCAGAAATGGGCTTTGATTAAATAGATTGACGTTTAAAATAAGGGCGAGTTGTCGGTTAACAAACAAGGGAAGGTAGTCGATGTCTGTGTCCCTTCTCTTAATATGGTGATGTGCTGTTTTTAAAAAAAATAAGAGAGAGAGAAAGAGAAAAAAAACTGTTCTGTTCACCCGTAGGAGGCGCTGGTGTTTTCATACGGAACAGGTGGTCTACATACACTTCCACTGCATTTGGTGAGGTTCCTATCGGCTGCCTGCTTTTGTTTGTTTTCAACTGTTTGTAGCCAGACCGGTTCCTCTTGCTAGCTTCCATCCAATTCCAGACTTCTTCTTTTGTGTACCGGCCTGGTTTGGGTACAAAGATCCCGGACGGCAATTCAGTCGCTTAGCGTGTCGAAAGTCATCCTGTGTTTTGCTTTTTTTTTTTTTGATCCGTTTGCACGCTTCAGCCATCATAATCAATCATGCTTTGACCATTTCCGATCGTTCCTTGGTGTCCATCGTGATGTGTTTGAAAGGTGCTTTCACGTCTTGTATGCTTTCTGTGGAAAATGTCCTTGGTTCAGTTCAGGTTTGCGCTGTAAAAATTCCAAGCATGCCAGGAAGGCGTCGAAACGAGCCACGTGACATCACTCTCTTTTTTTTCATTCGCCCTAACGATGTCAACAGGGAGATGGTTTGCTGTACGCGCTGGTGCGTGAGAAGGAAATATAGCTGTGCTAAAAAAAAAAAAAAAAAAAGTGCACAATTTTTTTAAGTCCTGAGGGGGGAAAAGAAAATCAGATTTTCGGAACGTTTTCACATGCAGCCTGTCGTATGCTCCAGGAAACAAGCATATCAGTAACACATTGCTGTGAGCCGACAAGGCTATCGCTAATTTTGTTGTATCCCAGAATACCAAAAAGTAGTCATTTAGGATGGAAATAGTGAACACACTGACAGGCAGGTTGCACCAAAAACCACGTCCAAGCTGTTCCGTCGCTAGTGTGAAAGCACCCCAGCGCGTGTGCATGTTTGTCTTATTTTGTTCTGCTTCAAACAAGGGCTAATAATTCATCTTTCGCTAGCGTGTCGCTAATCACTCCAACGTGGCACCATCGCCTCCAGGTGGTGTATAAATCCATAAAAGTCGCCTTTTTTTCTGTCCGGCAGGGCAGCGACAGTGAGTACGAGGTGGACGCCAACCGCCAGAAGACGCATTCCTTCGTCAACCACTACATCAGTGACCCCACCTACTACAACTCGTGGCGCCGCCAGCAGAAGGGCATCTCCCGGGCGCAGGCCTACAGCTACGCCGAGTCGGAGCCGGGCGAGCCGGACCACTGTGCCTCCCCGCCCCAGCTGCCCTCTCTGCCGCCCTTGCCGCCCCAACTCAGCTCGCCCAGCCCCCAACCCCAACCCCAGCCACAGCAGCAGCAGGCGCAGGGACAGCCACCCGGCCAGGGCAGCCTGTTCAGGCCCAAGGGCAGCCGGACTCCCACCCCGTGCCAGCAGAGCGCCAACCCCCCCGGCCAGCACGCCGCCCTCTACAGGCCCCCTAGCAGTCTGGCTCCCGGCTCGCGGGCCCCCATCGCGGGCTTCTCCTCTTTTGTGTGAGAATTGCAGAAAAAGAACAAAGGAAATTCCTGGAAGTTTCCACGCCGCTTATTTCCTGATGGTATTCCAACACTTTTAGCAACACCTTCACCTTGAGGCTTTCTAAGTGCAAGACACGTGATGAAGATACACACTTTTGGTCAGCGTTTTGTTTGCATGACTTCTTATCATTTCTTTCTTCGTTTTGTTTCCACACACTCAAATGGTACAGGCCCCGAACCTCGCGGGAGACCCCGTTACTCTTTTTAAATGAGAATTTCCAGAAATGGACAATGGAAATTTTCGAAAGTGTCCACATGGATGTTCGTGTGATTTGCACTTGTTTGGGTTTTTTTTTTTTTCCACATTTCTGACACGCCTTCAACTTGTGACTTTATGCACCACTTTTTGACACACGACTATTATATATCTGCTACACTTCTTGTTAGCGCTTGTTAGCCTGACTTTTTTTTTTTTTTAAGATCGCCTTTAACTTGAGACTTTTTTTTTTTTTTGGACCCATGGCCTTTTCCACATTTTGTTGGATTTTTTTTTTCACTGATCAGTTTTTCATCTCCCGACACTTTCACAAAAACGCCTTCGATTTGCGACCTTTTGAGACACTTTTTGAAACCGCTAAACCTTTCATTAGCGCTATGTTAGCATCACTTCTCATTTTTTTATCTACGACGCTTCAACGTGAGACTTTCTGCAACAGCTTTTGTGAGTGTTTTGTTTGCATAACATCCTTTTTGTTTTATTACCAATACTCCTTCAACTTAAGACTTTTTGCCACATGACTATCATACACCGACACTACACTTTGTGTTAGCATTTTATTTGCATGACTTACCGGAGTTTTTTTCTTGTTTGCACACGCTGAAATGGTACTACCTTTCTATGTCGTACAAAGTCACAGGAATCCTTGAATACACATATACATAGAGACATACTTATGTATATATATAATATGATGCTATATATATTATATATATGTACCTCGAGGACTAGTCGGTGCTCACTCGGTATTTATGGCGACTGGAATAGTTTTGGGGGGGAAAAAAAGTGCTGTTCATTGTATAAAAATTTCAATTTTTTTTGTGTGTATGTGTGTAAAGAAACAATCACGTAGCACGTCAAAGATCAGCTGGACTCATACTTATGAGTGATTAATGAGTTTGTACCTTGAGTCCACATTCCAACAGATGCCTTTCATGCACACGGATGACATCTGGCAGGAAACTGCGGACATTTCCTGGATGTTTTTGTGGATATTCCTACTTGGAAGAGCTTTGGAATCACTGGCGGTCACTCTAAACCAAACGAAGGATTTTCTCTTTCTTTGGCCCTTCTCGCTTCCCTTCCCAATTGAAGATGTCATCGAACCGCCTCGCCAACAATTAAGCCGCCGTCCTGTCTCCATTGCTTTGTGTAAGTGCGTGTGTATGTGTGTGTGTGTGTGTTAACACACGTCCCGAGCTTTACAGATCATTCACTGTGTGTGCGTGTGTGTGAGCGTAACAAACTGTAAACCTGCCGAGACACTTGTAATGCCACAGTGAAAAAAAAATCACAGGTTAGTTTGTTTGAACAAAGTCATCGAATTGTCATTATTTTTGTTGCGAGTTTTTTCCTGTGGGGTAATTTTGTTTTCTTATGCGATAAAAGTTTACCATGCAGAAGAATGAATATATGATCACAGTACATTTCAAAAATAAATTATTTTTCAATGTTTAGTTGGTCTGGTTTCAATGAACAAAATTAAAAAAATAAATAAAAAATCCCGTTATTTTTGTCAATAACGTTACAGTGTCTGAAAAATACTCGAATGGTGCGAGGAGACCAAATGAATGATGGAGGGGATCATTCCCAATATGCACGTTTCATCAAATTATTTTGTGCTTCAAAATAAAAAAACTAAAAATTGTCCAAGCATCAGATGGCATCCAAAGTTAATTGGATGACAGTCAAGGCAAGCCATGGCTAACCTTGTAAATGCAGTGCAGGCAGAGGGAGATTAGGGAAATGGAATGAACTCATCCAGATGACTAATCCTTTTTTTAAACACATGGGAGAATTTCTTTCTAATGTAACAGAGTCTGTTTTTAGGTTATTAATGATAAAAGTCAACTTCACTTTTTCTGTATTCATATATACTGTACGTGGGGTAGCTACATGTACACCACGGGGACACATGAGCATCCATATTGAACTGCGAGCTTCCCCAAGCCAAGTTGAAGTGCAGGCCGTGTACTGCAGGGGTTCCCAACCTTTTTTGCCCCACGGACCTGTTTATGTCAGACAATATTTTCACGGACCGGCATTTAAGGTGTGGCGGATAAATACTACAAAATAATATGGTAAGAACTGCATGAACACTTGTGTTTTCGAGAAATAATAATAAACATGAGGAGCGTTTAATCTGGCCGCAACACTCCGATCGCTATGGTAATATTTGATGCCTTCAAAATACGATACAATGCAAATTCAAAGTGCATGAAATGTCAACTCACTACAATGCTGAATCAGTGCGAGCTACGAGCTTGATTTTCTGCAGCCGGGCGGTCCCATCTCGGGGTAATAGGAGACAATGACACCTGAAGTGTGTGCTTTATGTCGAGTCTAATAATAATTTTGTTTTAGTCGCCGTTGCTGCACAAAACCCCCGCCTCACACAGGTAGCATGTCGGAAATAGCAACAGTGCTATTGTGGCGATCTCAAGAGTATTCAGCCATAACTTGAATCCAGAACACTGGCAGAGTTGTTGTCTCAAACATACTTTTAAGGCCGCTGTTATTTGCGATCTCCAGCAGTTTATTTTACTCATTTTGCAAGCTCCGGCGTTTTGTTTTTAGCGTAATCAGTCACATGACGGAGAAGCGTGGTTTGACGTGCGTCAAGAGTGACACGGACAGATGTAACGGAGAATCGGGTAATTTTTCCAAATTAAAATATCTTTCGTATTCCAAAATAAATACAACGTAATTAATTTAAGTTCTTATTGTGCGGCCCGGTACCAAATGCCCCGCGGACCGGCACCGGTTCGCGGACCGGCGGTTGGGGACCAACCACTGGTGTACTGTACCTTTAAAAACTGCGGGGGGCGGGGCTGGGTGTACTCTGACTGGAGGCAGGGGGAGGGACGCCCACACAAGCTAACGCCGACGCTGAGTGACACACTCAAGGTACTCCCACCGAAGAACTGCACCGATCGAACGGACGCTTCTTCAACGCTTCGGCCTACTTCCCCTCACTCTTCTGCGGTTACAAGTTTTGGACATAGACCGTGAAAGTTTCCCAACCTCCCGGAACACCATCTTGAAGGTAAGAAGTTTGACTTGTTTAATGTGTGTGTGTGTGTGTGTGTGTGTGTGTGTGTGTGCTGGTTCTTTGTCGAACTTTTATGGCGGCAGGCGACCTCGTCGCGTGTGGCAATCAAGTTGAGGGTTTGGTTTTTTGCTAGCTCAACGTCAGATCTATTCGAGCGTCATCATCGGTAAGTCTCATC